AATGAGAAAATTTTACTTTTCAAAGAGAAGAGTGTACTTGGGGGGGAGGGGTGGGCAGGGAAAAAAGTGCAACAATGAATGAATGGAAATCCAAAATCTGTAAATTTTCATTGAAATGAATAATAATAAAAAATTTTGAAAAATTAAAAAAAAAAAACCACAAAAAACCAAAACTGACACATAACTGACCCTACAGTAAGTTTTCAGAGACTATATCAAACAGGAGGAGGTTGCCCATCTTACTCCGGCAGAGAGCTGGTGAATTTGAACCACATGCCTCAAGGTTGACAGGGCAACTTTGTACCACAAGGTCACCAAAGCCTAGAAAATCCTATGAGAAAAATTCTGTTCTGTCAAAAGGGGTCACTATCAGTCAAAAATCTTCCCAGTAACATCTAACAACAACCACTGGTCCTGTGATAAAAGGGAGGGAGCAGAATTGGAGAGCTGGCCGGCCTGGACACAGGCCTTAAAGACTATCAGCTCGACCTGATAGCTGAGAAGTACACTGAGCAGAAAAGGCTGCAACTTTGTACATTTACTCGCCCCAAGAACATCCATCTTTGCACAAACCTGGGGGAGGTCAGCTCCCTGTGTTCCCCGTGTCCAGGCAGCAGCTTTTCCTTGCAGAGGGATCTGAATGACCTTAGTGTCTGGGATGACTTTTTATAACAAACTTTTTTATTTAAAATGAAATTATTATAGAAATAATAATTTTTCTTTTCCTGCCTGCCTTCTCTCTTTCCTCTTCCCCTTGTGAACATTTATACATAATCTTACTCAGTTATCCATTTTTCCAATCGTGGTCATTACGCTGTATTTGTCCTTCTGTGACGGAGTTATTTAACTCAGCATAATGCTCCCCACAGTATCCTGTGTTCTATAGCATTTTATGAAATTGTTGTTCCTTTGTGCTGCATGGTATTCCAGTGTGTGGATGTACTAGAGGCAGGTGGGTAGATGGAGGTGGTGAAGGAATGGGCAAGGTTTGATGGGAACTTGAAAAGACACGATGCTAACATACATAGATCACTGTAATTAATTACATAATGTAATGTATGTGAATGATTCTATACAAACCAATTTTTAAAAATTAAGGAAAAGAATGAGGATGGGTGGTGCCTAATCACTTTGGTCCGAGTCATGATTTCCAGGGTGCAGAACATGATTGACAGAGCAGAGCACCTTGATTCTCCTCCACGCTCACCTTCCCCCCCTCCCCTTGTTCTCTCTCCCTGCAGATCCTTCTGGCTGGTGGACAGGTCGGTTACGAGGCAAGCAGGGCCTGTTCCCCAACAACTATGTGACCAAGATCTGAAGCACACAAAGACTGATGCACTGGTCAGAGGAGCTCCAGGCAGACAACGGAGGGGGCGTTTGGGGGTCCCCGCTTGACCTACAGTGAGCAGTTGCTTCACTGAGGCCTGGAGTTATCCCACATCTTCCCCATGGAGGGCATGGACAAGCCTGGGAGTGTCTCTCCATAAATAATCCTAGCAACCCAGGAGGGGGAAACCACCACCTACCAAGATTTATTTATTGTATTTAAACCTGGTGAAAGGATGAACGAGGTCCACTCAGACTTTGTTGGCTTCTAGCTTATCAGCTCCCTCTGCGCTCACCAGGCCCGGGAATGGCTGTAGGTGACCGCTGACAAGTGCCTTTAGTTCAAGAGCACATTTCTTTGGTCCTTCTTTTCCTTACATGACCTACACATTCCTTTCTGTCACCTGCCTTCAGGGAGGACCCAAGCTCTGCAGGCTGGACTTTGTAAATGGGCATTTCCCATGAAATGCCAAGAGTGGGCAATGCCCGCTGAACCCATAGATACAGAGAGCTCTGGTTTACACACTGTTGGAATCACCAGGAGCTGCTGGGCTGGGGGCTGGGTTTCCAGCCTTGTTTTCTCTGGGTCTTTGATTGGAATGTGGCTGGCCATTTTGAGGCTTTTTGTTTAAAGCTGTACCTGTTCCAAGAAGGATCTCTCTCCCCCCGCCCCACGCCAAGCTGTACATTTATAAAAACATCATATACTGTATATACAAAAATCTTGATGGTTAGAAACATATATGAATGTATTAAGTAGTACCCCACTGTTCTTATTCATAAGGTAGGTTTTATTACAAGACTCGCACCAGGTACTTACAAATGTGCACTATCCCTGTCCAACTATAGAATCAGTGTTACTGCTTTCTAGCTCAGGCCCTGCAAACCCTTCTCAATTATTTCTTGTAGGTGATTTTCATCTCTCCTCCTCTGGGTCCCTCCCTCCTAAATAAATAAAGGAATCCATGAACTACTTTGTTCTTCCATGACATTATTGCAGTAGCAGTAACATCCTTCAGTACGAGAATGGCTGTAGTACACTGAAATTCTCTACCTCTCCTCCTTGACAGGTTATTGGGAAAGTAGAATCTAACCAACATACACTTGTGTATCCCCATGTCCCTGGAAGAAAATCCCCAGATTACATACAAGAAAAGAAAATGTACACCTGCATTGGGACCAAAGAAAAGCCATTTCTTTCTCCTGAGTTTTATACTTCAAGAATAAACTGCAAACTTTATTTCCATAAATATAACAAATAGTGCCTAATATATATTTCCTTTCCATTTTGTGACCAGTTAAGAGATGAAGAAAAATAAAGCCATGATGTGATGAAATGAGGAAGCCAATAGTCTCTTCATGTTTTACAGAGTACTTTACCTTCATGGAGCCCCGGCGGCGTAGTGGGTTACGTATGTGTTGGGTTGCTAAACCACAGGTTGGCAGTTTGAATCCACTGGAGGTTCCCAGGGAGAACGATGGGCAGTCTGCTCTCATAAAGAATTACAGCTTTGGAAAACACAGGGGAGACTCGCCTGAGTCAGAATCAACTCAAGAGGTTTGGATTCTGTGTTAAGTTTCACCTTCCTGGACTTACTGAGAGGGAAGACGAACAATAGAATTGAATATAAACACACACACACACACATACACACACACACACACACACACACCCCTCACCTGAAATAATCATTCCTGGAAAACTTTAATTAATTGGTTAGGATTTTAAGCTTGTATCTAACTGGGAATCCTCAAGCTATGGGTGACAACACAGAAACCAAGTTAAACATCTCCACACACAGCAAGCAGAAGGCAAATCCGTGAAGATCACAGGTGAAGCCCTTGCCTCCTGATGTTTCTCGGCCCAGCCCCATATCAGATGCAAGGAAGCACTTGGGTATGTTACTTGAATAGATGACTGACTTCATGTTCCTAGATGGGAAAGGCTTAGGTCCTAAGTAAAGATGCTAAAATAATTTTGGAGCTATCCCTGAAAAATGTGAAGCTATATTACCTTATTGAAGAGACTGTGGCAGTGGGCTCAAACAGCAACAACTGGACAGCTGGCAGAAGACCAGATAGTGTTTCCCTCTGTTGTACATAGGATCACTATGATTTGGAATTACTGTGCAGCAGCCAATAATATTCTTAAACTTCATGTTGGTCCCAACTCAATGATACAACAGAGAAACCCTGTCTGGTTCTGTGCCATCTTCACGTTCGTCGCTGCATTTGAGCCCAGTGGTGCAGCTACTGCATTAATCCTTGTCATTGAGTCTTCCCCTTGTTTTACTGATGTGCTTCTCCAGGGACTGGTCCCTCCTGATAACATGTCCAAAGTCCTTGAGATTAAGTTTCAACATCTTTGCTTCTAGGAATCATTGAATCATTCTGACTGTTCTTCAAAAACAAATTTCTGCTGGCAGTCCATGGTATATTTGATATTCCTGACTAATATTATGTTGTCTAAAGATTCTCAGCACTGGGCCAACTGGCAGCATCTTGATAGACGGAGAAGAGATTGAGATTATTAATCATTACAGTTTGCTTGGTTCCACAGTTAACTTTCTTGGCACCAATAGTCAGGAAATAAAAAACAAATTGCATTAGGAAAATATGTTGTCAAGGACCTGTCTTAGAGTGCTGAAGAGCATGATATCAGTCTAGAGACTAAGGTGTGCCTGATCTAGGCCATGGTATTCACAATTACTGCTGTGCATCAGAGAACTGGATAATGACTAAGGATAATAGAATAATTGATGCCTTTGAGTTGTGGTGCTGGAGAAGAGTATTGAACAAACCATGGACTGCCAAGAGAACAAACACATTTATTCTGGAGAAAGTGAAACCAAACTGCTCCTTGGAGACAAGGATTTTGAAGTTCTGTCTTACATACTTTGGACATATTGCAAGGAGGGAACCAGTCCTTGCAGAAGGACATCATGCTTGGAAGGGTGGAGGCACAGTGCAAAAAAGGAAGACCCTGGATGAGATGGATTGACTCAGTGACTGGCATAATGGGATTAGGAGTGTCAGAGACAAATGAGATTGATTCAGGATAGGGCAGGATTCAGAGCTATTGTACATAGAGTTGCAGGTGACTCGAGGACACATAACAATATTATAATTCAAAGGCATCAATCCTCTTTGATCTTCCTTATTCATTGTACATCTTTCACATGCAAAGGAGGAAACTGAAAATACCAAGCCTTGGGTCACACCTTTGGCTTCTTTTGCCTTTTAACACCGTAAAGAGTTCTTTTGCAGTAGATCTGAGCACTGTGATGTGTCATTTGATTTGATTGCTGCTTACCTGGGTGTTGATTGTGTATCCAAATAAAATTAAACTTGAACTCTTGACAAATTCATTATCTTCTCTATTTATTATGTTGATTGTTGGTCTAGTCATGAAGATTTCTTCATGTGATGCGTAATCTGTAATCTTCAAGTCCTCTTTACTTGTAGCAGGCAAGAATGTATCATCTGTTTATCAAAAGTTGTTACGAGTTTTTCTCCAATCCGGTGCCACGTTCTTCATATAGTTGTTTTCCTTATTTATTCAGCAAACAGATTAAATAGGCTTGATGAAAGATACAACTTTGGCACATAGCTATTCTGATTTTAAAACCACACAGTATCCCCTTGTTCTGTTTGAATGGCTGCTTCTTTGTAAAAGTTTCTCTTAAACACATTGGTTTTTGTAATCCCTACTCTTTGCAATGTTATCTGTAATTTGTTATGATCCTCATAGTCAAATGCCTTTGCATAGTCAATAACACAAGGTAAACATCTTTTGAGTGTTGTCTACTTTCAACCAAGATCCACCTGATGTCAGCAAGAATCTCCTGGTTTTGATGCTCTCTTCTGAATCTGGATGAATTTCGGAAAGTTCTCTGTTGACGCACTGTTGGAACTGTTTCATCATTATCTTCAGCAAACTTTTGCTTGTAAATTATAATAATGATACTGTTCCATCATTTCCACATCCATTGGCTCACTTTTGGAGTAAGCACAAATATGGATCTTGTCCAGTGAGTTGGCCAATGAGCTATCTTCCCAAATTTCTTGCCATGGATGAGTGAGCACTTTCAGCACTGTATCCACTGGGTAAAACATTTTGGTTCGTATCCTGTCAATTCTTTGAGACTTACGTTTTGCAAACACCTTACCACTGGATCTTGATCATACCCTACTTCCTGGAATCACTGAACATCAGTTGGTTTTTTAAAATACAGATATTCCTTCTATATGTTTTTCCTTCTTCCATTGGTACTTCATTTTTTTAAATTTAATTTAGTTTGTTTATTTTTCTTTTCAGTGAACATCTACAGAGATTTTGGAATTCCATTCATTCATTGTTGCACCCTTCTCCCTGCACACCGCCCTCCCCCCTGGTACTTCATTTGATGTGCTATTCAATATTTTGCTTAGAGACTCCTTCATTGTTGCAACTTGAGGCTTCAGTTTTTTTCTTGTCAAATTTATGATTAAGCTGATGGATCTGAAGAACAAGTTCAAGCCTCAGGTTGCAATACTTAAAAGATGCTTTGGGCAGAATATGGAATGATCCAGGAAGCATCAAAAGAAGATGGATGGAGTACACAGAGTCCCTGTATCAAAAAGAATTGGCTGATACAGAAGAATTTCATGAAACAGCGTATGATCAAGATGCAATGGTTATGAAGGAGCAAATTGAAGCTGCTCTGAAGGATTTGGCAAAAAAATAAGGCCCCAGGAATTGATGGAATAAATGCCAATTGACATATTTCAACTAACAGATGCAGCCCTGGACATGCTCACCAGCTTGTACCAAGAAATTTGAGGACACCTATCTGGCCAATTGATCCATATTTATTCCCATTCCAAAAAAAGGTAATCTGACTGAGTGTGGAAATTCTCAAACAATATCGGTAATAACACACAAGAAAAATACTGCTGAGGATCATCCAAAACCAAATGAAGCAGTGCATCGACTAAGAACTGCCAGAAATA